TAGGTTTAGGTTTCAGTATTGGTTGTTTGTACAATGATTTTTATAATGTTGTTTGTGATCTTTTTTTTCTTCTCCAGAAAAGTGGTCTTTACATCCAGAAGTAAACGAAATAAAAGCGTTACAACATTCTGAAAAAATTAATTATAATAATAAAAGTGAAGTAGGAGAAGAAAACTTATCTGAAAGCAGTAATTGTGAAGAAGACTCTGAAAATGAAAAGAGTGAAAAGTTTCTCAGCGATGAACAAAATATGTTTTCTGTTTTGAGTGATATGTAAAAAATCGTTGGATTTTGAGATAAATATAAAATATAACTGACACTGATTTTGTGTAATTGATTTCATCAAAGTTACGTATACTTACACCAATAAAATCTCATGTTTTGATTATGTGAAAGTATGTATAGCATTATGAAATAAAAAATGTATAAATACGCAGCTTTGTAAATATACAGACTCTTACCAGAATAACTTGAACAGTTATTTCAGGAAATTAAGACACGAAAAGTGAAGTTAAATTTCATGTAGCTCATTCTCTTGCATCGACCAGCGTCTTGACTCAATTAGGCACAAAATTAATGAGGTTCTGTATCACATATCTTCATCCATATGTTGGTGAGCGTAATCTTCAGTTGATTCATATACCTGGACATGGATGAGTTGAATGTAGTTTCCTATTCCGATGTTTCCAAGAGTGTTAAATAGAATTCATGTTTCCGAAGGTGTCCGGCCCAGCATGGCCAGGTGGATAGGGAGCTCGACTCGCAATCTGAGGGTCGTGGGTTAGAATTTTCGTTCCACCAAACATGCTCGCCTTTTCAGCTGTGGGAGGGCATTATAATGTCATGGTTAATCCCACTATTCGTTGGTAAAAGAGTAGCCCAAGAGTTGGCGGTGGGTGGTGATGACTAGCTGCCTTCCCTCTAGTCTTACACTACTAAATTAGGGACAGCTAGTGCAGATAGCCCTTGTGTAGCTTTGCGTGAAATTAAAAAAACAAAAACAAAGGTATTCATTATAATTCATATTATGTTTCCAAAAGTGTTCAGTAGCATTCATTATGTGTTCAATAGAATTCACATATTTCTAAAGGTGTTCAATAGAATTCATATTTCTGAAGGTGTTTAATAGAATTCATTGTGTTTTCCAAAGGTGTTCAATAGAATTAATATTTCTGAAGGTGTTTGATATAATTCATATTGTGTTTTCCAAAGGTGTTCAATAGAATTCATATTTCTAAAGGTGTTTAATAGAATCATATGTTTCCAAAAGTGTTCAGTAAAATTTATGTTTAGGCTCTTATTTTGGCATTTTTACCACATGATACAACTCTTCCTGTCCCTGTTCCACTTATTTTTCTTTTTTATATATAACTGAGGTTACAATGCATGTTGATAATATGGGACCATTCCTTTATTTAATGGGATACGTAAACTCAAGGATCTGTATTTATACAAAATACAGACATTATACACAAAAAATAGTAATTGAGATACGATTAATAAATATGCTTCTTCATATACTATTGTTCATAACAGTTAAACATAAATTGTTTAACCAAACATAACAGTTAAACATAAATTGCTTAACCAAACATAACAGTTACAATTTTTTGAACATCACGAAAAACGAAGGGCGAAATAGCAATGTTTTTCGAAGTCTGAGAAAACAACCAAACGCTAGTTCACTTGCGAAACAAGGTTTACGCAATAAACAGTTTTTTAAAAACATTCTGAGAATCATCTAACAACGATTTTCCCGTAGTTGATAAATTAGTCATTCTTATCAAAATCTTACAAAACCCAAAGAATTATTCCCTCGAGCCCACGAGATACGATTTGTTGATTGTTTGTTTTTGAATTTCGCGCAAAGCTACACGAGGGCTATCAGCGCTAGCCGTCCCTGATTTAGCAGTGTAAGACTAGAGGGAAGGCAGCTAGTCATCACCACCCACCGCCAACTCTTGGGCTACTCTTACGATTTGTTGAATATTTGAAGCTTTAGGAAGTTTCAGGATACTTATTCTCTCTTATATGTACAAAGTTTTGAGTTGTATTTTCAAATCCATTCTTATATTCTCTGTTCAAAAGTACACTTTTTTTTGTTTATTATGTTCATCAAATTATATTTATTACCACTGTTTCCTTATCCGAATTTACAAACTAGTATAGTTTTCCTGCAACCATTGATTTTTCAAGTTTAACTGGTTTCCAGGGGTGGTTACACATGAAGTCTACCAATGAAAATCACCACGTACTATACCGGATAGGCTATCGACCAATGAGAATCTACCTTGCAGAAAGAAGTAACAGACGATACGAAAAACAAGCCGCAGTCGAGTGCTTATTTTGTTTTAAGACTTCCGAGTTAAGGAAAGTGGTTTTCTTGGCACCGACGAACATAATAAGGTTACTGTTTTTGATAGTTAAGAAATATAAGCGTGAGTCTAAAAGAACTATTTGGTTTTCGTTCTAGTTCTGTATACTATTAATATACAACTTGTAGCTGTATCTTAGATTATTCGATAAATATCAAAAGAACATTATGGTTAATAATCTTGTGAAACAACAGTTTGGAGTTAATAGAATAGAAGAATGTTCAGTTTATTTGCAACTTTAAACCTTGGATCATTAGAACAGGTCAGGATGACGCAGACTAGAATCATGTTATTTTACCAAGATGACACGTAGCAGAGAATCATGTTATTTGGGTTCTCTTTTAAACAACAACAGTAATCGATTTGCCATGGAAACATCAGAATCGCTAGAACTGTCAGTTATGCAGAACAGATGTAGCTACAGAATCAAGAATTATTCGTCTATATCGTCCCAAAATGTTCGGTTGAGTGATGACTGTAAGCGACAAACCAACAAAATTCACAAAGATTTCCGGCCTAGACCAGATAGTAATCAGATGTATGACTCCAATAAAGTCCAAAGTCTTCATCTTTCTCACAATTACGACAAATCATGGCATCAGGTTAGCCAAAACATCAGGAATGATACTGAACAAAATAAACGACGCTACTATAACCACAATTTGTGGCTTTGCGCAAGTCACAGTGTTCTGTCTAATACTAAACATGGTTTCGACTTCAACTATGTCCATAGTTCACTATCCAGTAAGAGTAAAAACTCTCGAAGTAACACTGACCATGAAGTCTGGCTCCACCTAGACAATATTTCCGAAACTAAAACTGGTCATGATGGCCGTCGCCAAAATGGCCACGACTCTAGGTTTTACGAGAAAGAAAATTTCCAATTCAACACTGCCCAGTATTACAAGAACCAAAATTCACAGTCCTGTACAAACCAGAGTTCTCATCCTGGTTCGTTTAATCTTTTTCAGTACCATAGTGATTACGGTTTTACATATGAGAAGAATCGGAATATTAAACCTACCGCTTATCAGGAGTTCTGGTACCACAATTACCATGGCTCACGAATTCTTAAAGAAAAGCGCTTTTATCCGAAGAATAATCGCTGTTTACAGATGAACAGTGATCATGACTCAAAAGTATTTACACACCAGAGTTCTCAACACACCATTGAACATCCGTTCCAGCACCTTCGAGACTTTTCAGGCCGTAGCTCCCAGTGCAGCAGTAGCCACAGTTTAAAATGGCACGTTAACCACAATTCAAAATCCTTTAAGGACCAGTTTTCCAAAGTTAGCAAAAACCACGGTTTTCAACGCCAGAATTCTCATAGTTTAAAGTCATTTAATGACCAAAGTCGTGGACTTCTTATTGGCCAAAGGGTGAAACAGACTAATAACGGTAAATTTCAATATACTCCTACCAGGTGTAATGGAACGTGGGGCCTTTGTTTGAATCCATGGTGTGGGGTACATAGAAAATCTGCTGATCAATACAGCTTCTGTACACCTTGTATGATTCCTCGTGCTCGTTTGCGAGAGACAGGCACCTGCGAGTACGTTGTAAAGGTAAGTTTTAAATGAAACGTACAACTTAGAGCATTGATTTCATCCCCCTTTCAGGCAGACTACAGTATATAACGAATAATGCAACGTTTAGAAATCTAGAATATAACTTACTTATATCAGCGACTTCCAACTTATGGTACACATGCCCTGGATGTACGAGAAAACCTTTGAAAAATATTATAAAGAAAGTAAACCCTACTACTAAAAACTGAAGGACAGTCTCAGTAACCAACGTGTTCCACTAGCCAGCACTTAACGCTCACGTGCCTCGTCCTTGAAGTACTTCTCTTGATTTAAATTTTTATTAATACAAACTACTCTTGATTTGTTTTTTGTTTTTTAATATAATCCCTCGGTGAGTTAGGAGTAAACATACGGACTTACAACATTAAATCCTAGATTCGATTCCCCGTGGTAGCCAGAGAGCAGGTAGCTCAGTGTGTGACTTTGAGTTAAAACAAATTTTATGCATCATAGATACACCGCTAGCTCAAAGGCCTGACAGGTGGCACGAGGTATAAAAAGACTGGGAACAACTGACCTGTATATATATATATATATATTGATAGCTGGAGTACCCGTCCGTTGGACGAATGAAATAAAACTTTGTTTATAACAAAGGATAGGAAACGGTGTTTCTATTTTTTTTTCACATAATAAACATTAAAAGTGCGATAAAAATACATAAAGATACCAATACTGGAAAGAAAGACATACTGTTTTCAATAATTCTAACAATAGTGGTTGCATAGTTCATTCTAATGCTCAGGGATATACAACATTGGTAGTTTTCCGAAATTAGATATTAAATTAAATGGCATCCTGTATCACTGTGTCAAGTTTGGTGCTGTTTGATCAAGAAGTTTGGAAACGTATAAGGAACTGATATACACGCGCACACACACACACATATTGACGTTTATTTATATAGATAAGTTGTATCCCATTTTTATAATTTTATACCCCACATAATTCAAATATTAACCTTATGAAATGACTAGCCTTTTTCCTATTCACAAAAATACGTGACCTGGTGAGACCCTTGGCTATTCACTCCCATTTTATCTCGGTCAAGTTCTAGACTTGCTGCTTGTAACTACGACGAAACTCTGTCTGTGAAAGTTTGCCTTAAACAAATATACTTTCTTTACGTAGGTAAACTTCAACATTAATATAATAAGGATCTAGAAAGATCAATATATCCAAGCAAATACAGTATATCTTCTCCCCATACAGAATACAGAAGGTTTCAATAGAGAATGATATTAAAGGCAGTGTAAGGGGAACTGTAACATGTATACTTTAGAGGGATATACACTTAACATAGTGTCAACTTGAGGCTTCTTTGTGAGAAAAATGTATTGGAATATACTA